AAAAGCAAAACAAAAATAAAAAACAGACAAAATTCAAAGTCAAACACCAATAAGATGATGTGTGAAGCAGAAATCTTTCCGCTGCTTTGTATGGGCCAAATCTCATCTCAAGAACAGAAATTTGTGTGAGTTACAAAAACAAATATATCATGTGAGCACATATTCATTCTGAGATTTTCACACACTTCAGCCTCCCCATACTCAAGTGCACACAGTGTAAGGAAATCCATCTGTCTCTTCTAAAATGAATCCTTTGTGATCTACACATGATCAAACCGCTTGCTTACACCCTCTTATTGTGCTTTTTATTGTCATTTAAGAAAATACTTCCTTCATGAACCACTTCTCTGGGCCACATATGGGAACAATGCTGCTCAGATTGCTCCAACAACGCAGCCAAGGAGCTCCGGCACAATCGCCATGGATTGAGTGACGCCGTGAGGTTATTAGTCCATGTTCTGAAACTTCACCCTACTCATCTTCTCCACCTATAAATTACACCTTGTACTGAGCTGTACTCCTGTTACACCTGCATGTGTATGAGTACCCCAGTTACCCTGTAAACCATGGTTACTGTAACTTTGTATGTATGTGTGCACTGCTTTTCATTAAAAAGTATGACTAAAACTCACTGTGCTAAAGAGAAATTAAGCTTTTTCATCAATTATGTTTTTATGTGTGTGTCAGGATATCGGAGAACCTAAAGCACCTTGAATGGGTTTATTGTGATAGTTTTCTTACAGTGGTCTATATTGCATGAGCGAGCAGCATATACTATATCACACACACGCACATATACACACTCAGTCTTACCACCTATGGCTGCAGGCTTCTGCGGCCTGCAGCCATAGGTGTGTGTGTAGGGAACATGGTTCCGCAATTTTCTATGACAGGAAGTCAGGCTAGAATCAGCCCACACACCAAGGATGCCGGGACACTGGAGGCCCTGCGACCCAACTGTGGGAGAGACGGGAAAGGTAAGAGGAAGTCAACTTCAGCAAGCAAAGTAACAGTATATTAACTGATATCGACCGGTCAGAGACATAACGATTAAAAAACTAAAAATCTGCACAGCGCTTTGAATCTGCTTGGGCAAAAGCGGGTGAAATGATTGACAGAAGGCACACGTCCTCTATTTACACTAAACCCAGCGCCACCTGAGACCACCTCATTCGTCTCTCACCCCTCTAATCCCTTAATGACAAACCACAGAGAGGGAGAGAGTGAGCAGACAGAAGGAGAGATACCCGAGCAGTGCTGTGAGGCCTGTGAATGGAGACTTTGACAAAACTTTTTAGCCATCCTCCCACAGATGAGACTGTGCAGGGAGCATTTAATAAAGAAGACAAACAAGCATGAACATAAAAAACTGTATTTAGGATAGCGACTGTTGTGTTGTTCTGCACATGGAGAGAAAGACAGCATTAATATATATGTGTGAGTTTTATTTTGCGCAAGGCGTGCGCGGCTGCTTTTGAGCTGTGTGCATGTGTGTGTTGTTCAGATTAATACTCTATTGTGAATGGAGAGGGAGGGCGGCAGAGGATCATGTGACAAGAGTCAGACTGAACCCGGCGCCTACACGCTTCTCAGGGGTCACACAGGGGTCGTCATGTGGCTACTGTGCCCACCGCCACATATACAAACACACACACACAGACGCATACACATGAGGCATAAGTCTGTGTGTGTTAACAAGCACACATGGACAGGAATACGCAAACCAAAACATATGCAAGTTTCAAACTTTTTTTAAACTAAAACACGATCATAACTATATACTATGTTCTGCTAATTTTTAATTGAAGAAACTGCTTTAATTTTCCACATATACTAAAAGATACAGCATCAGTATACACGTCTTCTCCCATGTTAATTCATTCTTCTGTGGCCAGCATATAATGCTTCCTTCTCGGGAAAGGAAGAAAACTCTGCTTCCTCCTCTCCTCTTTTTCCCAGGTCATGTAACCCGAGCTTCCCATGTCCTGTCCTTTCTGCATGTTATACCAAGCCATTAGTGACATAAACACAGTTCAGACGCAAAGGGAAAAGAGATCGGGGGAAGGAGACTTTGGGGAAATTACAGAGAACAAACGAGACAGAAGGAAAATATTTTGTATTGGGTGAAGAGCCACATTATTAAGTTGGAGAAGAGAGAGCCGGAGAGTGGAGGTATATCAGGTTTCACCATGTTTTCATGTTCTATCTCGATTACAGTAATGTGTTGGGACCACTTAACTAATGCATTAAAGCATGGTGATACCCGCAATAAACAGCATTACACAATGAATTAGAGTATGAGAGCCAGAGAGAGGCACTAAAAAATGTAGAGTGTGCATACTTAACCCCTCCGCCCACTCCTCTTCCTCTCTCCAAACACACACAGTAAAATGACTAACTTCATTACCCTCCCCATTCCTCTTAGTGAGCACAGCGAATTGAAACCTAATTACCACACCAGAGCCAAATTAAAAGCTTTTCCTCTCAATGGCTGCAATCCATCTCCTGACAAATGAACAGCGCCACTTCCACAGTGTTAATGCTCGCTTTCTCCCTCTCTGCATTCAAGCATCTTCATTCATGCCAGCACGCTTCCTTTCAAATAACACTGAGGCAATAGCTTTGCTCTAAGCGGCACATTATCTCACTCACACTAATATCAATCACATTTCAAAGATATAATATTAGGAATAAATAAAAACAAATCTGGCAGATCATGTTTGCTGTTAAATAGACTTGCAATAAAGCAAAGCTTTATTCCAACACCTCAGCGACAGATTTGTCATTCATTAAGTCAGCTGGGATGCTCATTACAGCTTCTCTTCCTCATTTTATCTCGATCAATCAGTCTTTTTGTTTTCTTCCCATTTTCAGCTCTCAGTGTGGCCCTCGGTATTTTATATAGACTGAAGACCACAGTCTAAACACTAATGAGTATAGTGCGTCTGAAACATATTATATATAGGATGCTCATACAGTGTTGCCCCCTTCCTGATTTCCTGTTTTTGTGTGTTTTGTGTGTTTGTCACACTTAAACGTTTCAGATCATAAAGCAAATTTAAAAAGTAGACAAAGATAATAGATGTAAAAACACAAAATGTAGCTTCTAAATGAAGGTGTTTATGATTAAGGGGGAAAATTATATATAAATTATGACATAAAGTCACTGTGGTGTATCACTTTTTTAGAAAGTTGAGTTCAGTTTCTCTAGCCATACCCAGGCATGATTACTGCCACACCTGTTTTCAATCAAGAAATCACTTAAATAGGACCTTCATGACAAAGCGGAGTAGACCAAAAGATGCTCAAAACTCAGACATCATGCTGCAATCCAAGGAAATTCAGGAACAAATGACAAACAAAGTAACTGGGATCTCTCAGTCTGGAAAAGGCTTTAAAGCCATTTCTAACTGGCCGACCACCAAAATTACCCCAAGATCGCAGTGACGACTCATCCAAGAGGTCACATTAGTGCAAGGTTTGATCCTGGTTGATATCAAACTCTTTGAATTTGAGCATTGCCAAGACATTGTTGGAAAAGCTTTCCATGTTCTGGTTGACTTCACAGATAATGCTCAATTAAATAAGAACTGAGAAAATAAATTCACCTATAGCGCCAGTAGGTTTACAATAAATAACTGGCACAGACATCCGGACGGAGTTGTGTTAAAACACATGCAGCTCGCTGCCATTTGAAAAAGAATCCTTTGAAAAGCATCACGGTGGTGGTGTGTGGTGGGGGTGGTGGTAAAGGAGTGAAGGAGGTTACTGTAAGACTTTCAGGATGTCCTGCCCACAGTGTACTCACTAATTTACCAGCTGTCCATCTGTAATTTCACTTAGTAATTAATAATGCCATGTATCAGTTAGAGATCAGATGTTTTGGTTTGTAGGAGGGTATGCTTAATCCAATGAAGTCTTCCCTTAACAGATAGTGCAGGCTCCCAGACAGCAAGGTTATCAGACTGGCTCTCTGCTCACTGCCACTTAATGGAGATCGTAGCAGATTGTGGCTCACAAATTCACTATTACTGTTACATTCGGCTATCTTTTCTTGTCTGTGGTATTTCTACTTTTTACAGGGAGATTTCTGGCTGACTTATAGGAAACGGCTACAGCCACTGATTATTCTGGGAACAAAGATACGAAGCCCACTGCTGGCTTGTGCATTCCAGACAGTCAAGTCTCTCCTCATCAGGCTGCTCGCAACACAGATGGTCAATGAGAAGCTGGTTTGCAATGAGATTCCATCTGATTGATTCACAAAAATCAAGCCTTTAAAAAACGACCAATGCTAATACATGTAATGTTTACTCTGCTAGTAAACGCACCATCCCAAAATGTATGGTTATCACACAGAGGGCAAAGTGCTCTTCACTTAAAAGTCTTTATCACTAGTCAATCGTGGTCGAACGAGTTTGGATTGATGGCGGATCACTAGTGCTCAGTCTGCAGGTACTAATGGGATTATTTTTCTTTCCGCTCGTTCCATCTTTATCTGTCCATCCTAATCCAGTTTGAGACAATGAAACAGACCCAGAGGGGTGCAGCAGAGGACACCACCCCAAACACATTACGCCCTTAGCGACCAGAGCCTTTCTGCTTCTTCACGTGTATGTGGAGGCATTGTAACATTCAAATGGGGACCTGATTGTGCCAGAGCAGCTCGAGGTTGATTCGCACCAAAATCATATCTGCCAGTAACCTTGTGCATCTTGGGACTCTATAGGTTCACCGCCTGGGAGCTGCTTGTAATGACACTTTGCAGCATCTGTCACAGAGTGAATGAATGATGGAGGCTGCATTTAAAATACTCAGGGAGACTGAGTTTATACCTACTCGCAATGACATTCGAAAGAAAAACACAGGATGCCGGAACCATGACAAAACAGAGTGAGCACACTATCGCATGACAGCCCATCTTTCTGTTTACATTTAGGGAGGTGCTTATTTTTTGCAGCACCATGGTTTGTCATTGAGTGCATGCACTGTCTTTGTTGTGCCAACAAAGCTGCTTAGATCTAGATGGTAATCTTAGACCGGACTGCTTACGAGGCCCGGTACAGGTGGGGAGAAATGGGGAACAAACGTATTAAACGATAACCTATAGTCATATATCTCTGTACTGTAATAATTTTATTTAATTTGTATTCAAATACTTAAAGCTTTACCTTATACCATTAATACAAGAATGACAGTGATAATGCAGGACAAGTTATGGTTAATCAGAAGTCATAAACTGCACAATAAACATTGTGATTTCTGGTAATTTTACTGCCATATTAAAGCTACCCTGTTTATACATGTACAGTACTGGATAATTTAAAACAACATCCTGTGTACATGCAGGGCAATACTAAAAGCAAAACAGAAAGTTATTTTTTTTAATTGTTTCATTTACACGTAAGTGTTTCCTGTTGTGAGATATAAACATCAGAGAAATGTCACAGTCCTTTTGTGCCTCATTAATGTCTGCACTAGCAGAGATTAATACCTTAACAAACCAGACATAACAGACCCCGGATTTAGTGCTCTCATTTCTAATAGCATCCTGTGTCGGCGCACTAGAGAGAACAGGAGAAGTGATGGGCAAAGTTGAGCTTTACATAGAGCCATACTCATCATCTCTGC